TTTTTTTTTTTTTTCAATTAATTATTATTTTTTATTTATGCTTCAATAAAATTGTATTACATGACATTCCTCCATAAGCTAGCGTTTAGGAGTTTTACTTTTTCTAGTCTGCAACCAAACGCGTTATTCACGCTTACGACTTGCTTGTGGTGCGTACGCACAGTTCATGTTTGCTTTCATAGTGCCATGGAAAAGTTCATTAAACCATCAACGCACTTTTACGGTTTTCTAGAATTCCATTTCCACCGCAAACACCGTTTGTTTTGATTTATTTAATATTCTTCTTTCCCCTTCTACGCTTTGCAGCATTCATACACATGAGTATTTGTCATAGATGAGGTATTTAAATAACTGACAGAAGATTATAACCGTACAAGCAAACAAACACACACAAGCCAACATTTTACATAATACTAACAAGCAAATATGAACTTCAAAAACTAAGCAAATAAATATACGTGTAAGCACATACATATATTTTTACTTAAATATAAAAAAAATAAAAAGGTAATAAAAGAAACATAATTACCCAATGCTGAGATAACTTAATTAAATATTCTAACAAATAAGATATACACATGTATGTAAGTGTATGATGCTCATAATCTCTGTGTTTTTATAGGCTATATCTTGGTTATATACTATTTACACAAACATTATGTACTTAATTATGTTTTAACAATAAATCATTTGTCTTTTATTATACTCGTTAGTTTAAAAACTGCTTATGTTGATTAAATAATATAATTTTACTTAAACTTTATAAATTTATTGTTTTACTAAAGCTAAGTATCAAAATTTTTAATCCATTTTTTTTTTCAAGAAAATTTCTTTTTCTTTTAATTTTTTCTTAATTTTGTATGCTATTTGTTCAATAAATGGTATTAGGAACATCATATGTAGCATAAACAATAATTTCTTTCACGCCTTTTTTGTTTGTTAGTTGCTCTAGTTTTGGTTTCAATGTAAACGGTCACGAATTATGAAATCTTGTATTGACCCATTTGGACATTTTCATGTATTAATTGCATTTTGAGACTACCTATCGCTCTCCTTTGCCGGAAACAATTCGCAACGCACACAATAAAAGTTTATTGTTCTAGTTTTTTCTTTAATTTTTCGGGATTTGTTGAGGTTAAAAGCGAAAGAAATTTATATTACAGCTAACACCAAGTAACTTACAAGAAAATACACTATTTTTTATTAAACCGTCACAATTCATTTTCTAGTTGAAATTTTTCAGAAATTCACTTTGTATTGAAAAGCCTCTGTAATTACCTAAAAGCACATTACTTTTGCAAGTGAATGTAATAACTATTTTAGTTAAATGTGACAAACACCACCAAAGCCTTATTTTATTAACTAACTTTCATTGAAATAAATTTCAAGAAAATAAAGCATTTTCACTTAATTTTTTAAATATAAGCGTTTTTCAAGTTTATTTTCGTTGCGTGTTCCGTTCGTTAATAGACTCGCTATGAGTAAAAGTTCATTGTTTGAGTCTTTTGTTTGCGACAATTTAGTTGAACACATATATTGTTTATTGAAATTGAAAAAAATAAAAATAATGAAGGTACTCTCTCTGGAAAGGTCCTCCACCTCACAGTTTTATATATTTTTACTCTTGCAACATGTTGCTTCTTCTTCTTTATTAGCGGTTATAACCGAGTTTACAACAGCGAGCCAGTCGTTCTTCCTTTTTGCGGTTTGACGCCAATTGGAGAATCCAAATATGGCAAGGTCCTTCTTCACCTCGTTTTTCCAACGGAGTGGAGGTCTACCTCTTTCTTTGCTTCCTCCGGTGTGTACTGCGTCGAATACTCCCAGAGCTGGAGTGTTTTCATCCACTTTTATTCCAAATTTGAAAAAATTTTGGCAATAAAGTTTGATCCGGGTAAATTGATTGGCTCTTAATTTGTATACTAGAAAGTGAAAGAATTAGATGGAATTTCAAATTGTGTTATGTAGGAAGTAGGTAGTAGCCTAAATATCGATTTTCATAACCTCTTTTCCTATATCTGATTTTTTGGCATAAAATTTAACAATCTATAAGATATCTTAACGAAATTTAGAGGGTATCTTTTTCTGATAACAGTGAGTCCTGATGCTGAAAATAGATAACATTATTCTACTTCCTCCAAGTAGGTATGTTATTTTTAATATAACGGCATAACAATATGAATAATTCCTACCTTATTTGGTATTATAAACTTAGCCTTTAAATGCAATTTTGTACTGGAATTTCCTCATATTTAACTTTGCCTTTTTTCCGGTTTATATAATATACATATGCTCACATTGTAATTATTATTGGCATATCTTTGAAATAAACCTTAACATTTGAAGGCTGAAAGTTAGGCCAACTACGCTAATAAGTCGAATGGTACAACAACACTTATAAAAACAAAAATAAAATATAATTTATGCAATGCTACTAACTCGATTTCTAGGAAATGCAACCACCTATAATTATAAATCACGCGACTTTGTTGCATTTTCCAGTCGAACGGAATGATATTCAATTGTTTTTTTTTTTTTCTTTTTTTTGTTTTTTTTTTTGAAAAATCATATGAATTCATACCATATACCGTACCATGAACAGGTAAATTTAAGTTTGCCAGGAAGTTCGTACCACCCAGAAGGAAACATCGCCGGATCAACATGTGAAGGGCTGTCTATTTAGCCATGTCCGTCTGTATATATGCGAACTATTCCTGCAGTTTGTGAAATATCAATATGAAATTTAATACACATCCTCGTTTATTCAAGAAGCTGCTCGTAATAGCCGATATCGGACCACTTTAGCATATACTTTAGATGTCATACAAATTGAACGTTCAATATTAAGTTCTTGTACGGACAACTTTTTTAGTTGACGAGATATCTGCACGAAATTTGGCAAGAATTATTTTCTAAAGCAACGGTACAATCTCCGCAAAAAGTATTCAGATCGGATCACTATAGACAATAGCTGCTATACAAACTGAACGATCGGAATCAAGTTCTTGTGTGGAAATTTTTATACTTTCGCAACAAAGTTGCTAAAGAGAGTATTATAGTTTTGTTCACATAACGGTTGTTTGTAAGTCCTAAAACTAAAAGAGTCAGATATAGGGTTATATATACCAAAGTGATCAGGGTGACGAGTAGAGTTGAAATCCGGATGTCTGTCTGTCCGTCCGTCCGTGCAAGCTGTAACTTGAGTAAAAATTGAGATATCATGATGAAACTTGTTACACGTATTTCTTGGCTCCATWAGAAGGTTAAGTTCGAAGATGGGCAAAATCGGCCCACTGCCACGCCCACAAAATGGCAGAAACCGAAAACCTATAAAATGTCATAACTAAGCCGTAAATAAAGATATTAAAATGAAATTTGGCACAAAGGATCGAACTAGGGAGGGGCATATTTGGACGTAATTTTTTTAGAAAAGTGGACGTGGCCCCGGCCCCTACTAACTTTTTTGTACATATCTCGATAACTACTATAGCTATGTCAACCAAACTGTATAGAGTCGTTTTTCTTAGGCATTCCCATATACAGTTTAAAAATGGAAGATATCAGATAATAACCACGCCCACCTCCCTACAAAGGTTATGTTGAAAATCACTAAAAGTGCGTTAACCGACTAACAAAAAACGTCAGAAACACTAGATTTTACGGAAGAAATATCAGAAAGAAGCTGCACGCAGGCTTTCTTTAAAAATTAAAAATGGGCATGGCTTCTCCCACTTATGGACCAAAAACCATATCTCAGGAAGTACTCAACCGACTTCAATGAAATTCGGCACATAATAGTTTCTTAACACCCTGATGCCATGTACGAAATATGGGTGAAATCGGTTCACAACCACGCCTTCTTCCAATGTATCGCTATTTTGAATTCCATCTGATGCCTTCTCTGTATAATATATACATTAGGAACCAATGATGATAGCGGAATAAAACTTTACACAAATACGGTATTTGAACTGAGGTATCCCTTGTGGAAAAATTGGCGTGATCGAACTATAACTATATACTACAACTTTTCAAGGCCCCTGATATCGAATACGAAGAACTCAGTGCCTAATCTAACCTAATTTTTCACCGAAAATATCGCAAAATCTCTCAGATATTTTCATGTAATTCAGAGGGCTTCATTTTTATACTCTCGCAATAAAGTTGCTAATAACGGTATATATCGTCAGATATATGGTTACATATAAAAAAGTGATAAGGGTGCCGAGTAGAGTTGAAATCCGGATGTCTGTCTATCCGTCCGTGCAGCTGTAACTTGCGTAAAAATTGAGATATCTTGATAAAACTTGTCATGCGAGAGTATAAAATGTTCGGTGACACGCTAACTTAGCGCTTCCTTACTTGTTGAATATATATTTTATATCCGCAAATTCGCAAACTCACTTCCACTTAACGAATGCAATGGCTGCTCAGCGTCGAAAGCATAATTAATGAATGAAATGCAATTTTTGTGGTTACAATTTTCGAAAGCACATACAATTGCTTGTAAATCAAAATCTCCCAGAGGCATACTTTTATGAGATATGCTGAGAATTTGGCGCGAAGACTTGCTTGCCAACATCAATTCACTTACACTTAGTTGTGTCTGTTTATGCAAGTGCGTAAATATTTATAACCGCACCTATGCACAGACATATATGCAAACAAACTTACATACATATGTACATATATAWATATTTATAAAAGTGATCGTCTGTCAGACCTGCTCATGACATGCAGGTGAAAGTGCGAGTGACAGCTGTAGTTATTTGGTCGTATTTATTTGCGAGCTCAATGTGTTTGAGCGTCATAAAATTAAAATGTCTGAGGTTTTCAGAAAAATATTTGCACTAAATGAAATTCATTTCTATACCGAAATAATTATCGCGTTTATTTAAGCTTGTAAAGCAGTCTAAGTGCATTGCTCATTATGTTTAATTAAATTTAGTTGATACCATATAAAATAAACACTATTTTCTTATGAATTTCAGAGCTGTTATATGCACCAGAAGCTAAGTGTTTTCCAATTTTATGTGCGCTTGAAGAGTTAAAATGCTGTAAGTTTGTAAAAACAATAATTTTGTAATAAATGTGAGAAGATGTTAACTAAGTTTGCACCCACGCCGTATTAACTTTTACTAATAAAAAGTTCTTTAAGCAAGAACTTGATTTTGATAGTTCAGTTTGAGGTCCGCACTTACCTACAGGGTGGTCCATATACTTGGTTGTTTTCAATGCAAAAGATTTCAGTATATTGTTGAAATAGTCGGGAGAGAGTGTTATATGTATTTAGAAGGCCGATAAAAGCTACTTTTCCAGAATTCTTTCTGAGAAAACTTTTCAATTTATTGATTCAAAAATATGTACATATTGTTTATTACGGCATCTTTTAACTGTATTCTTAGACTTAGTATTACTAATTATATTTATTTGAAAGGAACTACAGCTGATATAAAGGAGCTTTTCTCAAAAGCAACGTTTTGCGGTGACCACTATATCTCTGAACTGGATCCTCTGTAATTAAAAAACCAAGCAGATTTCGTAATGTTAAATCTAGTAAAGACAATCGAAGGGATAAGCATAAAATGTATTAACAAAATGACCGTTTCGCATAAAAACATCGATTTTTGAACAAAATTTCGGCCATAAAATGTTTATAAAAAAATATTTATTGGTGAGAAAAAATCTTCGATTAATTACTAAAATATATATTTTAGAAGCTCATGTAAAATGTGAGACTGATAAACTTAACCGTTTTCGAGTAATGTTGGCCACCAACTATGAAAACACCATTTTGAGAAGAGTTAGAGTTTGGCCCTGTACTTCCAAGCGCTTGAAACGCATTTGAAACTTCGAAAATATTCACCGGAACGATATGAAATTTTCTGTTTGTGTTCTTAAATATATATGTATGTATATAACCCCTTAAATCTTGTAGCATTTTTATCAGATTTTACAAGCTCATGATATATCACCAAACACAGCGCATTGCCTTCTTAACGTATCGACCTGTTTTTGTAGTCGATGTTGATGGTTTTCCCAGGATTTTCTTCCGTTCAGGATTTCTTAAATAAATTAATTTTTCATCGCCATTGACAATTCGTTGAAAAACTGGTTTTCTTTCGTGTCTTTGAAGCAAATTTTCACAGTGAAGTGTTTTCCATTCATCTTTCATGTGACACCCACTTACCACACTTTTGGATCATTCCCATAGTTTTCAAACGGTCTGAAAATCTTTGCTGTGCAACATTTACTTTAACTCGAAGTATCGTATTCATCCAAAATTGCTTGCATTTCAACTTCTTCAAACTTTTTTTGGTGATCTTGCACGTTCACCATTTCTCACTTGAAAATCATTAACTCTGACTGTTGCAACCATCTTTTGCATGTTGCTTCAAATAGAGTATGATCACTATATGCCTCGACAAGCATTCGATGAGACTCTGCAAGAGCAATTTCTCCTCTTTTAGCCAAGGGAGATCGACTGCTTTCTTCCAGCGGACGAAGTAACCATCTGCTTCAGAAATGGATCGGCTTTGTTACGTTTTCATATTCGCATATTTTTATCATTGCGTTAACTCGTGTAACTTCCATACATCAAGCTTCTTTATTCCATAAAGCCTTATTTAAATAGTACTAAATGATTTTTGGTGTATTTCTCTTTACTCCGACAATTCCGAGTCAAGCAATCACAAAACTATCTGAGAAGTATTTAAGTATGAAATCTTATTTTTTCAGCTTAACTCTATCGCGAGATACAGATTATTAAAGCCATCTATTAAAAAAGTTGTGAATTTATTCTTACTAGAACTTTAGGGGTATGCATAATAAAAGTTACTATATGGACCACCTTTTACATACACTGTATACATACATATGTTCATAGATAACTTATGCCATAGACTAACTCTCCACATTTCCACCTGTGTCCCACCTGTATTATTCAAGTCATCACATCAGCTCATCTGTCGCAAAAACACACTGAAGCACACAAACTAAACAAAATCAAAATCGAACACTTATAAAAATTCCACGCAGACGACAGATATTACTGAAGAATCATCAGGAATCGGTGAATGATACAATGGTCGATAGTCGTGAACGTATACGTGGTCCACCACGTGATGGTCGCGAATTTCTCACCAGTCCCAGACAAGTATTGCGACGTTTAATGTTGCTCTCCGAGGGACGTCAATATAGAGAGGCGGCAGGTGTTGTGGGTCGACTGGGACCATCCGTTTTGCGTTCAGTCATCGCAGAGTTGCCCATCGACTTGCTGCTAGAACATTTACCGCACAGCGCCTATCTGTTGGAGTCATTTTTCACAAGGTAAAATCTAAAATTGAAGAAGCATTAAATTTTGTAAATATTTTTTAAAGGTGGCTATGTTTTAATAATAATCTCTTGGCTGTTTACAGATTAATTACCGTCAATCCCTCACCAAAACCGGATGTGCCCATAGAATCAGTTGTTTGGCAGCTGGTGCGCCTCTTTTCATATCCTCACGAGTCAGGTGTGCGGCAACGTTGCGCGAAGCTTACACAGGCCATAGCTCAGTATGAACCCAGTTTGCGTCAGACACTGCGCGAGCGGCGAAAATCCTTCGATAACGCTGTACAAGGTTTGGGTGTGCACGGTTTAACCACAGACGCCACCGGACAGCTAATATCACTGCATCATGCGCTCAAGACCGAGTTACAAAGACATTTGGATATATACAAAATGGCCATACACAAATTGGAAGAGCTGAGCATGGTGACCGCGCATCAAGATCCAGCACATTCCTCCCATCAACGCCTACTAGCCATCAACTACGGTGACATACAACAAAGACTGATCGAGAACAAAACCCTGCTCACCATGTTGGATAAGCCGGCCTTAAAGCAGCTGGCGTGTCTTGTCGAGAATCTTAGTCAGCGTGTGGAGAATGACAAAGAGGTGTTGAAGTGTGTGGGCCAAGTAAAACGTTTAGATGGTAAGGCTTGTATAGAGAAACGCCCGGCGGCCGGTTTATTAATGAACTTCGCGCAAGGCTGCGAAGCTGTGCTACAGCTTATGGGTCCCGAAAGCCTACCGACAAGTCCGACTGCCATTTGTAAAGGTAGCAACAGTAGTAACAGCAGTGATGGCTATCATTCGGATGATTCGAATAGCGAAGAAACGAGGTAAGGCAAGAAACATGCCACAAATGTGGTGAAAGTTATTTATTTTATTTTTTTGTATCGGCATATTTGGGTCATTATGTGTGGGTGGCCTGCCGAAAAGTTCCCAAGTAATTGACAATGATTTTGCGTACTCAACGTGCAAATCATTACTGACACAAATTAATCTAATGTTGACCTTATAAGGCACGAAAGCTGCAAGACGTATATTTGACCTTATTTAATGTAAAGGGTGTTTATTTAGACACGTTGTTTTCAAAAAGAAATAAAACGTAGCCAAGAATTTAGTTTTTCTATTTGGGAAGGTTTGCCATTTTAGTTTTAGAACCATTTCGGGCAACTCATCGCGCGGCTGGCTCTTAAGCAATAAAGTGCCATATATTCTCTTATCTTATCAGGCATATCGGCTTAGACAAGCGACTTCGCATAACCACACAAAATATAGTCCAGCGGAGTTCCACGATCCCACGATACAGGGTAATGCGAAACCGCTATAAGCTACATACTTCTCTAGTGGCTTGTACAATAGTATTACCTCAATTAAAAGAATGATGAATAATCTATCATTAACTCAGAGAATCTGGATTCCTAAAAAACACGTGTCTGAGCACTCGGAAATCCTTACACACTTTGACTTCATACCGGATCACTGGGATCATGGAGGGGTCAAACCGAACTCTGACGGCTCCTTCTCTGCCCATTTACCGGCGAAGTAGTTATTGGGAAGGAATCGTTCGAGTAGAGAGCAGTGAGCTTCTTTACGTATGCTTCAATGTTTGTGAGGAAATGTGGTAAAGGCGTTTGCTGTCAGGAGCTCTTTATCAACTCCAGCTTGTGACTTCCTGACTATTGCAGTTTTTTCCAAGGCGAAATTGCAGCCATTAAGGTAGCGGTAGATTTACTGAACCGCAGTGCAGCCTCCTTCACAAAAGTGACCATTAGACAACAGAGCGGCGATACCAACTCATTAACAGTTCATTCAGGGTTGGTCATTTTGTACCTAACCACGCTATCAATAGCTTCGAGTGTCTTTGTGATAAGACTGACATGGGTGCCAAGCCACAAAAAAAACGTAGGATATCTAACGTAGGATATTCTATGAGCTAGCAAGGAAAACACCCTAGAACCATTATAGGTAGAATGGGAGCGTGTCGGCGCTTTCGTTTCCTTTCGTGTGTAGTATTAGATAGCTGAGCTATGCGGAACTCAACTGTGAAGATATTTTGAAATGGCGCAAATTGAAATCTTGCGTTAATTTTGGAACACCCTATATATCTTGGTATTCTGAAATTCATCCACAAATTTCTTATTCAAATTTATTTGCAGTGAAATGGTAACTCAATATCGCACGCTATATTTGGAGAACCGAGCAGACACTTTGGAGGCTTTGGATGGCTTGCCGCAGCTGAGACATGTTCAAAATTTGAAGGCGAAAATACTCTTCTCGATAATTGTGGTAAGTTTCAGATATATGGTACAAGCATAATAAATTATATACTTTTAACGGTTATTTGACGCCTACAATTCGCCGCTTCTCCACTTGCTCAATTTGAGGTCTGAGTTCTCTTCAAACGGTGTTTCCATAAGGAGTTATAATATTTCTCCATTTGTATTCAATAGGAGAGAACTTAGTAATATATTATTTTAGTGTTACAATTGTCTGTTGATATCTCTATAATATATATATCTATAATAATAATTTATTATGCCAGTTTATCATATGATCAAATTTGACTCGAAAACTATCCGGGTAAACTGGATCAGTAAGCATTCTCTCCTAGATTGATATCTTTTTTAATACTGATTTAGACTAGAACATTGTCTTGGAAATTTCTCTAAAAATGAGATGAAACGAAGAAAACCAAAATTATTGCTTAATGGTCTTCACTGGAGACCATCCAAGCCAAAGTTCATAGCAAGTGCAAAAAAAAAAAATTATTTTGCTTATATTGGCCGGGAGCCTATTTTGAAATCCATAATAAAGATTTTAATTAAAATACTTGAAAATGGTGTACAGTTTTGTCAGTCCGGGTCAATTTTGGTCAGTTGGTTTTACATGCATATCAGTTGATTGTTCGATTTGCGCATTATTTGCTTACACACACAAACATATAATCAATCAAATAGACACTCAAATATAGTTCTTCGACTACTATGAAAACGAATAAGTCGTGTACTTTACAAACCAAAAACACCAACAAGTTATCTGCCGATTAAAGAAAGCTTGTTGACGATTAACACTTTTGCTTTCATCAATCGCTCCATTTTTTAAAATGCTTATTATTAACCAAATTATATGAAATAACATGCTATAATCATAATGAAATATTCAAGTGCTAACCCATTGACTGTGGCAAGTTGCGAAATCAAATCGCTTAATTATAGTGAATTATAACAGCTAAAAATATCAAAAATAACAAAAATACCTGTGGATGGCTGACTGTAGTAGAAAGTGATTTTGAACGCCTTCAGGCATGCTCCTATTATCCGGCCTTTGGAAAAAAAAAAAAAAATTATGTGTGAAATTTGCAACAGCCGATTTTGCCCTAAAGAAACTGATAGAAATTCGATGATGGATGGCAGTTTGGTCTACAAGTTATTTTGCTTCATTATTATAATTTTTTTAGCGGCACTTGAAAAGCGTTATGGTTAAGCACAAATGGACACATTAGCTGAACATATACCTAAAGAAACCAAAAAATATGATTTCAATAAATATGATAATGATCATGCTCAGGTGTTTTGGTTAACAGTCTCAGCTAATCATCATTTTATCAACTCAATACAGTACTATTGAGTAATTTGCTTCGACTGCTTCGACACTTCAGAACAAAATTACAATCACAACACAATAATAATCATAATTAACTGAAAATAATATTTCCACTGATAATTGAGAAGTTTTGTATGCCTTTCAGTTGTCATTTCGTCTGTGCCATGCTATGCGCGAGAGGAAAGTGATTGAAGTGCGTCGGATATTGAATTGCGCCTTGGACTCATCGAGTGAGAGTACGCTGGCCTTGGATCGTTCGGTGCGCACACATTTGCAAGAGACAGTTGAAACATTTCCGGTCGGAGAAATTGAACGTTCCGTTTTCAATCAGGTAGATTTGAAGACATACATTTTTTTTTTTTAATTTTTAATCCCAAAAATATTAATCGAAAATAGTTTTAAAATTAATCATCCAATATTTGAGATTGAAAAAAGTGAATCCCAAAAATTTTTTCAAAAATAGATTTCAAATTATTAATCCAAATTTGGAAGTGAAAAAAATTTAATTACAAAAATCAGAAAAAAATTTAATTTTTAATATTGAATTGATTAAGTAAAGAAAAATGTTTATCTCAAGTTTACAATTTAACAACCAAAAACAAAAATCGTTTCAAAAGTTAAATTTTTTGTGTTTGCGTGTTTCTATTTTGGATATATTTTGAAAATGAAAGCTCCTTTTTAATAAAAATATCGACACAGCTTAGTAATATTTGCCTTATTTACATTTAATTTAAAGATAATAATATTTTTTTACTTCTTACTTTAAATTTTAAATAAAAAAAAAATATTTCAATTTTTAATTTCCAACT